TCCAACCGGTAGAGTTCGATGTGTCCTTTTTCTCTTGCTCCGATGTCTTGAATGCCATCGCGCAGTGCCAGCTTGTTTTGGGGTCTCACGAGGGGGATCGTGCGAATGCAGTTCTTTTCGAGCCTTCCACATGACTCCGACAGTAAGATCCCGCATGGGAATATACGTCGTTTTTCCGAGGCCTCAGACAGCCTGGTCTCGGCTGGTCTCTGCTATTCGCCACTGCTCTTTGCTGGTCTCTGCTGCCCTCGGTTGCTCCCTGCTGCTCTTTGCTGGTCTCTGCTCGTTGCTGCAGCTGGCGGGGTGCTCGCTGCAAGTCTCTGTTGCTCTTCGCGGTTCTCTGCTGGTCTCTGCTGGTCCCGCGTCCCAGTGGATACTCGCCAGAGTATGGTCCACAGGAAACGCTTGAGACTTTCTCGCAGTTCTTTTACAGATGAGGCCCCCACCTGAGACTTCCTCAAGAGTCAAGCCTTGGGGATTCAACAGTGACGACAGTTGCAGGTTTCGAATGACCCGCTGTGATTAGTAACATGATCTGCGGTCCCCGAAGGCAGGGGCTCCCTCTCGATTGAGATCTCCTCGCACTTCGCTCCCGCGGCTCCAGCCTGAGACTTTCTCAAGATTCGAGCCTCGGGGACCCAAAAGTGACGACTGTTACAGGGTGCGATTGACCCGCTCGGCATAGTGGCATGAACTGTGGACCCAACAGGGAGGGGGTGGCTCCCGCCCGAGATTTTCCCGCAACTCATTTATAGAAAGGCCACCCGCCTGAAAATTCCTCAAGATCCAAGTCTCGGGACCCCAAACGTGACGACAGTTGCGGGGTGCGATTGGCTCGTTCGGGTGTAGCATGATTTGTGGACTCAATAGGGAGGGGGCTCCTGCCTGAGGCTTCTTCACAGCTCACTCACCGACAAGGCCCCCGCCTGAGATTGCCTCGAGCGACGACAGATGCAGGGTTCGAGTGACCCGCTCGGACTAGTGACGTGATCTGTGGGCCCAAAAGGGAGCGGGGCCCCTCCCGCTCGAGACCTCCCCGCAATATATTCACAGGCGTGACCCCCGCTTAAGCCCGTTTCAATCTTCAAGCAACGGGGGGCCCACCAGCGACGACAGTTGCAGGGTTCGAATGGCCCGCTCGGGTTAGCAGCGTGATCGGCAGAGCCCCCGAGGAGGGGGCTCCCGCCCAAGTATCCCTCGCACTTCGCTCACCGACGAAGCCCCCGCCCGAGACTCCGGGAGATTCCAGCCTCAGGAGCTCAAACATGACCGCGTTATGCGTTTAAGGTGCGTCTCCTCCCGATCCGCTCGGCCCGACGTCCGAGGTCTCTTCGCCCATGCTGAGGCTCGTGGTCGGCGTCTGTGGGCGGGCCCCCGCCTCCTCGGGGCTGCGGAGAAATCGGCGGCGAGCCCCCTTCCACCTGGACTCGGCGGCCCCCGCAGGTCGGGCCGGGTGGCCGGAGCGGCCCCGCCCGCTCGGCGGGGCGCGCGCGCGGTCGAGAGTTCGAGGCGCGTCGGGCCATGATGGCTCATCAGAGGCTCTCGTTGGTGGGAGGGCCCTCGATGCGGTCCATCGCGCGTGCGTCCGCAGTTGCGACTCGATGCGTTTCTGCAGACAGTCGTTCCGGAACCCTCGTTTGCAGGCGGCGTTGCGGAACTGATACTTGATCGTGTCGACCCCGTATCGTCACCCAGATCAGGTGCTGGCGAACTTGTCGCGTCCGCAAGCGTCGATCACTGTCGCGGCAGTTCGCGGCGGTCAGACTGCAGCCTCCTTTTGCTCAGTGAGAGAGCCTGTCTCCGAACTCGACGCCCTGAGTGCGCGCCTGTTCGCGCGTGCTGGTCGCCCTCTCCCTCGGCGCGCACTTGCGACAGAGCGCGCAGATGCGCGGGCTGAGCGCGGATCAGGTCGAGGCCGAGAGGTCGCGCATGGCGGGGCGAGGCGGAGGTGGGAGGCCTTCGGGGCGATGCCGCAGCGTCTCGCGGGCTGTTCCCCGCCTTCGCGGGCAGAGAGCTCGGCGACCGTGCGGCGCGGCGCCTCGCGCGCCCAGACAGCAGGCAGCGGGCGGCGCCGGCGGCGGCGCTCAGCCCCGGCAGCCGCCCGACGCGGCGATGGGCGTCGGCGAGCTGCGCGGCTTGGCGCCCGTTCCAGTTGCGGATGCAGATGGCGGGGGCGCGCCGGTGGTTCGGGCGCGGCCGCGAGCGGGCAGGGCGCGCGCGCAGGCGGCGGCGACCATGCGAGCGGCGTTCCTCCAAGGCCCGCGGGCCAACCCGCCCCCCGAGGGATCGCGGGCTTGTGCGACGTGGCGACGCTGGCGCGCGGTTTCAGGGTTAGCGTGCCACACGGGAGGGCCAGCCAAACTTACGGTGTCTCTGACGGGCGGACGATGGTGAAAGTATTGCACTATTGTTTGATCCAGCTCGGGGCCGACCACGAAATCGGCACGGTCCGCAAAGCGGGAAAGCCCGAAAAGCACCGTTGCGGGGCTCTTGCATCTTGCGATCGGCCACTTTGACGAAGTGTACCGGCGATCAGTCGTTCAGTGCCTGTCCAAGGGCGGCTTCGCGATGTTCGCTTGACTGTGCCATCTGCCCTGCCAGGGTGCGGGAAACGTGGTCAGGGCCTCTCTGAGGAGGGTGGCTCGTCGGCCACGCATCGCCCTGCGCGCGGAGAAAACGGTCAGGTCCCGTCTCAGGAAGGTCGTTCGTCGGCCTCGCTTCTGTCAGGGCGCAGGAGAAACGGTCAGGGTCCTTCGGGGGGTCATTCGCCGGCCACGTTTTTGTCTCGGTGCAGCAATTGGGTTCGCGCTTCTGATGATGAGGATAAGCCGTCGCTGGGTGGACTTGTGAGTTTCGTGTTCTCGTCTGTGACGCCGCCTCGGAGTCAGATGTTCTTCTTTCTTCGTGCAGCTGGGCATCTGGTCCTCGCGATGAGAGTGCCGTGGGTCGATTTCCTTCAAAGCTCGCCGGGGGTGCCCTGGATCGCGTTCCAGCTGCTGCCGCTGGGAGTGTTGTGGTCGGATCGCTTTCTGGATGCTCGTGAACCGCGAGCTAGAGGAGCCACCCCGTTGCGCCGCCGCTGTCCCCCCTCCTCCTGTTTGTCCTTGTGCCCGTCCGTCGCCTGCAACCCCACCAGTCAGTTTCAAAGAGCTCTGGTTGAAGTCAGTGACTCACGGGTTTCTTCGGTCGGCCCGAGGTGGTTTTGGCATGTGGAGCCCGCCCCTCGGGATTTTCATCCGTCGTCCGTGCTACCTGGTGGTGGTTTAGCGAGGTCGCATCGTCCTGAGTGCAAGTGGATCCCGATTTCATGTCGGGTTAATGTGACTTTCTGTCCGACACCGTTTCGCCGCCGCCGCCGTCTTCTCCTCCTCCCTCTCCTCCTCCTCCGTCTCCTCCTCCGTCTCCTCCTCCGTCTCCTCCTCATGCTCCTGCTCTTCCTCCTGCCTCCTCGTCGATCCACCTTCCGCCACCCCCGCCTTTTCTGCGGAGGACGGGCAGGGGAGTTAGAAGGACTGTGTGGGACGAGGACGTCGCCGACGACGGCGCCGATGACAGAAGCGGCGGCGACGACGCTGACGGTGACGCCGACGCCGCCTCCGCCTGCGCCTCCGCCTCCGGGTGGAAAGCCGCGTGCGACTCCCGGGCCTTCAGGATGAACCCGCGTGCGACCTGGAATCTAGTCGGAGGCGAAAATCGACCTGGGCACATACACATCACAGCCACGAACACCCCGACAACGAAACACAAAACCAACCCCACCACCACCGAGGAGCACACTTCACGATGTTGGCGTGTCAACTGTGCACAGGGGCCAGAAACTAATCTTTTTGGACACGCAGGCACCAGACCAGAAACACATATGGTTGTGGGGCAGGGATGAATGAGGGAGGGGAAAAAGGGGGAGCAAACCACCCCACGAACGCCACATCTCCCGAGACAACGAACAGTGCCCCGGCTGCTAGGGCGTGGGGGCGGCGTGACCTGCGTCAGTAGGCGCAAGTCTGGCACATGACGGAACAGTAGAACCGTCTGCCGCCCCCGCGACGTCACGTAGGATCGCCGCTCGGCACAAAGGGTGCAGCCCCCCGAAGACCCCAAACAATGTGGATACCATCGAAAATGTGCAATCCCTCCCCCTCCCTCAAACACCCATTTGACATTTGGCATCACTCTGCAACGCCACCATGGAACACGAGACCAATGCAAAGTGGAGCCAAGGAGGTGGCCGCACCAGCGGTGGCGCCGGGCGCCGACTTGGTGCATTTAGGCAAACCGACCCCCTAGGTGCCACCCAAGCACAAGACAATGAGGCCCAGAACCAAACTCTGGCGTCGCAGGGCGAATCACATAAACACTATTCTGCCTACTTTTGCCAGATCCCCTGAAGGAGCACGAATCCGCAAAGCACCTCCCGGACACCGAGTTTTACCTGAAGGAAACGTAGGGCCATCTTAATAAACTCTCGCCACAACACCTGCCACGCTTGGCACAATCACCGACGCGCGTTGGCCAGACGAGTCGCCGGTCTGCCCCCCGGGACCCGCGACTCACACCGCAGCCCCAGCCGGAGCCGAAGCCCCCGCGGAGGAAAGAGCCGAGGCCCCAACCGCCTCCGCGGCGAAATGGTCCCGGGGAGGTTGTGCACTCCCGCCCCGCAACAAACCTGAATGCTTAGAGGATGGCCGACCCGAGCACAAGACAGGAGACCCAACCACATCAGCACGACCATACCCCTACCGATAGGCACACACAGGGGCACCCCGAATGGGGTTGGGGTTAGCCGCGTCCATTGCCCTCAAACCCCTGAACGCACCTCCAGTAGGCCCAAGACCTTGGCGGGGGGGTGAACCGCGGCGAGAACTGTGAACCGGGAGAGGAAAGGAGCAGGGAAGGGGAGGGGAGGAAGAGAAGAGGAGGGGCGGAAGGGAGAGGCGGAGGGGGGGGGGAGGGAGGAAGAGAGGAGGGGCACAGACCCGCCACAGCCTACCCCCCACCCCCAGGGGGTCACAAGCACCAGCCGGGGATGAGGACGACGCGTTTCCGACGAGCGGCCACGAGGAGGCCTGTGCACCTGCTCGTCAACGCCGACGCCGTTGGCGATGCTGACGGCCATTTCGACGCTGACGCTGACGACTATTTTGACGCTGACGCTGGCGCTGACGCTGGCGACGAAGACGACGACGACGACGACGACGACGACGACGACGACGACGCTGCCGCCGCCGCCGCCGCCGACGACTTGTCGTCGTTCGCCGCGGCAGGGCTCCGGCTGGCGGGCGGGGGGGAGGGCGGCCCGCCGATGCCCTGGATCCGCCTGATAGCGAGCTGCGGGCGCCGGAGCGCCTGGCACCAGGACGCCGGCGGTCGAACGTCAAGAAAGGCATGAGGAGCATTTCTCGGAGGGCCACGCGGGTTTGTCGGATCGGCGCTGGGCACACCTGGCGGCCCCCACCCCGTCAAGATCCATAGGAGGGGGAGGAGGAGGGGGAGGAGGAGGAGGAGGAGGAGGAGGAGGAGGAGGAGGAGGAGGAGGACGCCGGCGGTCGAAAGTTGAGAAACTGACGAACCAACAGCACACACTCACACCCATGTGGGGGGATCGGAGAGGGCTACGGGTGCGTGTTGTCGGATGGGGGTCCCCGCTCGGACGGGAGCGTTCCCCAGGGTCCGACAACCCGCACCCATACCCATAGCCAGTCCTCCTCCCAACGACCTCCCCATGGGTATGGGTGTGTGTGTGTGTGTGTGTGTGTGTGTTGTTCGTTCGTCAAAAACGGCATGAAGAGCATTTCTCGGAGGGCCGCGCGGATTTGTGGGATCGGCGCTGGGCACCCCCGGCGGCGCCCCCGACGGCGTTCCTGGCGCGATCCGCGCGCCAAGGGTGGGGGGTCTCCGAGGCGGGAATCTATACCTTACCACCGCCTGGACAGTCAATTTTTGGGGACCTCGGCAGGCCGGGCCCCCCGGGGCCAGTATATATATATATATATATATATATATAATATAATATAATATATATCCATATCCACCGCCCTGCTGGGCACCGGGACGTCGGTTCCCAGGCGGTGGATATGGATAAAGCTTCGTCTCGCAGGGCCCAGCGCCGATCCATAAAAATCCGCGGGGACCTCCGAGAGTTCTATGCCGTTTTTTGGGTCTGGACGGCGCGGGCGCCGCCGACGGCGGACGGCGGCGACGACGACGCGGACGCCGTTGCGGAAGGCGCCGACGACGCCGCCGACGACGACGGGCGGCGGCGGCGGCGCTGGCGGTGACGCCGACGCTCGTCGCGCCTTTTCCGGCGTCGGCGGCGGCGGCGGCGGCGGCGGCGGCGGCGTCGTCGTCGTCGTCGTCGTCGTCGTCGTCGTCGTCGTCGTCGGCGTCGGTGTTGACGTCGGCGTGGGCGTTGGCGTCGGCGTGGGCGCGGCGTGGGCGTTGGCGTGGGCGGCGGCGTCGGCGTCGGCGTCGGCGTCGGTGTGGGCGTCGTCGTCGTCGCCTCTGCTTCTCTGCTTGTCCCCTGTGGGCGTCCCTGCTCTCGCCGTGGTGGTCGTCGCCGTCCTTCTCCCGGTGCTCGTCCCCGGCCCCGGAGGGGGGGGAGCGGGGGAGGGGAAGGGGGGAGGGAGGGGAGGGAGGGGAAGGGGGGAGGGAGGGATGGTGGAGGGAGGGGAGGGGGGGAGAAGTGGTAAGGGGGGAGGAGGAGGGGGGGGGGGGGGAGGGAGTGAGGGAAGGAGGGAGGGAAGGGAGGCGATGGGGAGGCTTGATGGGGAGGGCCATGGCCATACGGGAGTAATGCGGAGCATGGGGCCGTGGGGGACGCGAGGCAGGGAGGAGGACCTTGGATCGGACGCTGCGGCTACAATGCGATGCTTCGTCGCGCGTTGAGCCGAGGAGGATGAGGAGGAGTAGGGAGGATGGAGGATGAGGAGAGGATGAGGAGGGAGGCGTAGAAGGGTGGGAGGAGGAGACGGAGAGGGGAGGAAGGAGGAGGAGAGAAGGAGGAGGGAGCGGAGAGGAAGGAGGAGGAAGGGAAAAAAAGGAGAAGGAGGGGAGGAGGAGGAGGAGGGGGGGTAAGAGGAGGAGGAGTGAGGTAGGAGGAGGAGGAGGAGGAGGCGGAGGAGGAGGAGGAGGAGGAGGAGGAGGAGGAGGAGGAGGAGGAGGAGGAGGAGTAGCGGGAGTGGGAGTGGGAGTGGGAGTGGGAGCAGTAGGAGTAGGAGTAGGAGTAGGAGTAGGAGTAGGAGTAGGCGTAGGAGTCAAGTTAGTCAGCTCGAGCGAGACATGCATGGCATGCCCATTCCCACCCGCCCTCCCACAACAGAAGAAACAGTGCTGGCACAATCGGGAGCCGAGATCACATCGGCGAGCTGGTTTGGCACAGCTGATGCGGCCGCGACAGCGGTTGCCGATGGGAACTCCCCAGCTCGTCTCAAAGGCTGCGCGGGCTTTCAGCACGGGTCGAGGATGCCCCAAGAGGATCCAGAAAGCTTCAAGAGGCCCCGGGAACCCCCATGATGTTTCACGACACCCCAGGGAGCCCCAGGAGGCCCCAGGAGCCCCCTGAAAGGCCCCAGCGAGTCTTTCCCCAGGAGGCCCCAGGAAGGCCCAGGAGACGCCAGGAGCCCCTCCAGGAAGCCTCAGGAGGTCCAGGAAGCCCCAGGAAGCCCCAGGGAACTTGACTGGCAAAGCGCGTCGCGTGCGCAGATATGCCAGCTGGTATGGCAGAATTCTTGCGGCCACGATTGCAGCTGCCGATTGGAAGTGGTCCAGCGCGTCTCAAAGGCCGCGCCAGCGCGCGGGCACCTCGGTGCAGGTCGGTGACTCGGGCGGGCGCGATGACATGATGACGTCGACCACGGTGGCGACATGATGAGGAGGGCGGTGACCCGCGATGGCGACAACGACGGCAAGGCCAGCGACGGTGCCGATGATGGCGAAGTCTCTGGAAGAATTTGGACATGCGCTCGCGGCGACGCGCGCGCATGTCGCCAGGATGGTATTTCATGCCAGGATTCGCGCCCTGGGTGCAGGACAGAGCATCGCGAGAGCACCACGCGGCGTGATGAGATCGCCGGCTTTTTCACGACGTCAAGGGAATCGTATGGTGTTCCTATGATTTCAGCACTTGCGCGCGGAGAGGAATTCAGAAGATGTGTGATGACTTTTTTTTATACGTAGGCTTTTATGTTGAAGTGTTGGTCGGATTTTGGCATGAAAGCGCGCGTGTGCACTGTGTGTCATTGTAATGGCCTCCGGCCAGTGCCGCCGATCCGGGGGGCTCCGGATTCGGTGATCTGTGGCCTCCTCCCTCCTCGATTCTTCCGGTCCTTTTTCTTCTCCTGGAGCGGTCCCGGGGGGGTCCAGGGAGGGTTCCGTGGGGAGGGTCCTGGGGGCGGTAGCGGTTAGATCTGAAGCGGGGCCCTGGAACCCCCGAAGCATTTTGGGGATGCGCAAGTCATTAAGAAAACGCCAGATGGAGGCCCCTCCCGTCCCCCCTTTCCCCGGGGGTGGGACCGATGTGAAAATCAGGAAGAAAACGCAAGATAGGGGGACCGCCCCTCCCCCCTCCCCCCCTTCCCCGGCAGAGCCACCCTGGCGAACCTCCAAAGCAGAGCTGAAGCTCTTGCTTAGGCTCAGAGCTGAAACTCCTGCTGAGGCTCCTTGTAGTTCACACGCCGGATCGGCGGATTTTTGGTGGCCAGGGGTTATTGACGTGGACGACAACATGTTGAGAGGAAAAATGACGCAGCATGTTGATTTTGAAGGGTTTTTCCAGCTTAGGATGGGACGTCCCGAATGGGGTGGCTATCGGCCGGGGAGAGGGGGGAGTGGGACTTAATTCATAAGGAATAAGGATAGGAATAGGAGTAAGAGTAGGAGTAGGAGTCGGAATAGGAGGAGGAGGAGGTAGGAGGAGGAGGAGGAAGAGGAGCAGGATGATGAGGAGGAGGACGAAGAGGAGGAGGAGGAGGAGGAGGAGGAAGCCGAGGCGGAGGAGGATCAGGAGGAGGAGGAAGAGGAGGAGGAGGAGGAGGAAGAGAGGAGGAGGAGGAAGAAGAGGAGGAGAAGGGGGAGGAAGGAGGAGGAGGAGAGGAAGGAGGAGAAGGAGGAGGAAGAGGAGGAGGAGGAGGAGGAACAGGAGGAGGAGAGGAGAAGAGGAGGAGGAGGAGGAGGAGAAGAGAAGATGGAGGAGGAGGAGGAGGAGGAGGAGGAGGAGGAGGAGGAGGAGGAGGAGGAGGAGAGGAGGAGGAGGAGGGAGGAGGAGGAGGATGAGGAGGAGGAGCAGGAGGAAGGAGGAGGAGGAGGAGGAGGAGAGAGGAGGAGGAGGAGGAGTGGGGACGAGCGGAGGAGATGCTAGAGAGAGCGAGAGAGAGAGAAGATGAAGGATGAGTATGAAAGGAGAGGAAAGGACATGATCAGGGTGGTGCCGGGGGGGGGGGGAAGGCGCAGAAGGAGGAGGAGGCGGAGGAGGAGGAGGAGGAGGAGGAGGAGGAGGAGGAGGAGGAGGAGGAGGAACAGGAGGAGGAGGAGGAGGAGGAGGAATAGTGCCTGGAGGACATCGGGGACTGGTCGGGGAAACGGGAAAGGGGGAAGAGGAGGAGGAGGGTGAGGAGGAGGACCAGGACGGGAGGAAATCGGAGGATGAGGATCGGGTGCAGAGTAGACTCAAGACACAGTGATCCACGATGCTGCAACACACACTTCCGTCCAAAGACCCCTCCTCATAAGTCACTGCAAGCGTTCCTTCTAATTGCGCGAGGCGGCCGCCTTGAAAGACGATTGCTCCGTGGGCTCGCCATTGCGGCGGGAACTTCTTCTTGAGAGAAGTTGCTTTCCATCCTTGGATCTACAAGGAACGTGGTAAGGTGGGATCGTGCAATGGATGGAACTGCTGCCCAGGAACAGCCTAGCCCTGAACGCATACCGCTCTCCATACGTGTAGCTGTTGCAACCTTCAGATTTCTGGCGCGCGGCGCCACTTCGAAAGGCCCCATTCGGCCATCATCCGTGTAAGTTTTGTCGTCCAAGGCGAGTGTGCGTATCGCCAGGCCGAGAATCCTACGTATGTTGAAAACCATTCGCTCCCCACCCGTGTAACTCGGTTGTTCAACACGAGGCTGCGAGGGCGAGGCGAGAGCCCCATGCCTTAAATCATTGGGAGGAGGAGGAGGAGGAGGAAGAGGAGGAGGAGGAGGAGGAGGAGGAGGATCAGGGAGGAAGGAGGAGGAGGTAGGAGGAGGAGGAGGAGGGAGGAGGAGGAGGAGGAGGAGGAGGAGGAAAGAAGGAGGAGAGGAGGCGGAGGAGGGGGGGGCGGAGGAGGGGGATCCGGAGGGGGGGGAGGGGGAGGGGGAATAGGAGGAGGGAGGAGGAGGAGGGAGGAAGGAGGAGGAGGAGGAGGAGGAGGAGGGGAACTGGTCAAGCTTCCACTTCGCAGGTCGTGAGGAGGTCTCGGGCGAAGTGCCTGGCCTCCTCCAGCGACACGCGGCGTGCGAGAGGGGATGTCAACAACCAGATGTCGGAGCGCCAGGGCCCGGGGGCCCCGCGGCGGCACCGCCCTCTCGGACGGCCCCCCCCATTAGCCTCCCCCCTGCCGCGGCCTCCTGGGCCTCCCTGCGGCCACCCAGCACAGTAATAGCGACAAGGGCGGCCCGACAGAGCCGAGCGGCGGCTCGAGCACGCCCCGAAGACAGCCCAAGAGGGCTCCGAGATGCTTCCCGAGACGGCCCCAGGAGGCCAACATTGCTGCAACCACGACGGCCCAAGATGCCCTCACGCGGGCCCCAAGACGGCCCAAGAGAGCCCCAAGACGGTCGAAGAGGCGCCCAAGACGGCCCAAGAGGGGGGCCCAAGAGGGGGAACTCCAATTGCCAGCTCGAACTCTGCGCCCGAAGTGGACCCCCAAGACCACCAGCACGCCCCAATGGGTCAGCAAGAGGAGGCCCCATGAGGCTCGCAGGCGGCCCCCAAGAGGCCTCAGGAGGCTTTCAAACTGGTTCCAAGAGGTGCCCGAGAAGCATGCCAAGATACCCCAACAGGTATCCAAGCAGCCTCTGACCCACAACCCAGGCACCGTGGTGAGGTGGGCCGAAGGCCAGTAGATCCACCGCCCCCTGTGCTTGCCAGTGGTGCACGGCGTGCTGGACGTTGGGGTTGTTAGGGTCTGGTGTGTGTGGGGTGAAGGTTTCAAGCGGGGTTTCGGCCTGCTGCGCCGGCCACCCGGAAGGACCCGTAAAGACCTCAGCATCTCCAGAGCAGCTCCACACTGAGGCCAAGATGGCCGAATGTGACTTTCAAGATGCCTCCAAGAGGGCCACGGTGGCCCAAGGTCGACTACACGTAAGAGTGACCCTTCGCCGGAGTGACCTTTGGTGCGGGCCCATTGGGGTCCCCGATCGCCGAACCGGAGGCGGCAGTGGCGTCTTGCGCGCTTGTGTTTGGCCCCCCCGCGGCCCCCAAAAAGCCGCGCACCAAAGGTCACTCTTACCCAGGGTCACTCTTACGCGTAGCCGACAAGGTGGCCTCCAAGATGTTCCCAAGACCCAAGACGCTTCCGAGACAGCCAAGATGGCTCCAGGGCGGCCCACTGGTATCCTCCAGACGTTGCCCACTGGCGCCACGGGTGGAGCTCCCTCCGTGGCCCGATTCGCGCGAGGGGTGCGCCGCAGTGGGCGGGGGACCGTGTGTGAACCTTGCTTCTGGGGCTGTGGGTCGTGCTTAGGGGACCGCATGCGAACCCTACCCCTGCCCCCCACGATTTCTGAGGGGGAGGGTGGGGTTCACTTCGTTCGGGAGCTCGCGAGCGAAGTGAACCCCCCCCCCCCCCTCAGAAATCGTGGGGGGCAGGGGTAGGGTTCGCATGTGGCCCCCTAGCAGTGCTCCCTTACTAGGGCCCGAGCCGCGTGGGAGATGTGCCGCAATGGGCGGGGAGGCGGCGCTGTGCGAACCCTGTCCGGGGCCGTCGGTGGAGCTCCCTGTGGGGCGCAATCCGTATGAGAGGTGTGCCGAAGTAGGCGCGATGGCGGGATGCCAACCTTGTCTCTCTGGGGCCGTAGGGGGAACTTCCTGCTGGGCGCGAGCCGTGTGTGAGAGGTGTGCCCAAGGGAGCGGGGCGACGCTGTGCGAAGCTTCCCTCTGGTGCCGTAACCGCAGTTGCCTGCGGGGCACGATCCGTGTGCGGGGTGTGCCACTAATTATGCGAATCTCGTCTCTGGTGCCGAAAATGGCGCTCCCTGTGGGGCACGATCCTTGTGAAGCATGTGTCGAGGTAGGCGGGGGGCGGCGCTATATAGAGATCTGCATGCCCGCGATTTCGCAGGTGTTATCATATCGTGATCGTGGTGGGATGGTTTGCGTGTGTGTGTGTGTGTGCCCATCCGCTGATTGACATGACGCTGGCTTTGTGTGGGCTAGAACCTAAGCGCGCGAAGCGCGAGCGTGGTTTAAGTTTATGCGGAAGAGGGGTGGAAGGGGAGGACGAGGAGTGGGAGTGCGAGAATCGGGAGTTGGAAAGGGAGGAGAAGGAGGAATCGGTGGAGCAGAATGAGCAGCAGAAGGGGAGGGGTACGCACGAGGAGGCGGGAGGGAGGGGAGAATGGAGGATGAGGGGGAAGAGGAGGGAACGGGAGGGGATGACGACGAGTGGGGATGACGACGTGGGGGAGAATCTTTAGGAGGAGGAGGAGGAGGAGGAGGAGGAGGAGGAGGAGGAGGAGGAGGAGGGAGGAGGAGGAGGAGGAGGAGGAGGAGGAGGAGGATGAGGAGGAGGAGGAGGAGGAGGAGGAGGAGGAGGTAGAACAGTGGACACACTTCGGCGCGCGCTGTGTTGCAACTGTCACGCCGGCACCGTGCGATGCTCCCCCCCTCTCTCTCTCGCAGTCCGTGGCTGTGAGACCACAGCGCATGCAAGCACTGGTGGCCCGCAGAGATTCCAGGCTCGGGGGATCCGCGCCGCGTGTGGGTTGCTGTGGGCACGGCCTGCACTCATCGCTCGGTCCGTGGGGGAGAATATGTAGGGGGAGGAAGAAGAGGAGGAGGAGGAGGAGGAGGAGGAGGAGGAGGAGGAGGAGGATGAGGAGGAGGGAGGAGGAGGAGGAGGAGGAGGAGGAGCAGGAGGGATCAGGAGGAGGAGGAGGAGGAGGAGGAGGAGGAGGAGGAGGAGGAGGAGGAGGAGGGAGGAGGAGGAGGAGGAGGAGGCCGCGCGTGCGCTGCTCCGATCGTGCACGCAGAGGCGTACGGCGGCCCGCTGTGGCGCGTTCTGGCGAGCTGTGGCGGCCGCCTGGGGATCGCGAGCTCCCACTGTGCTCGACCTTCGCGCTCTGCCTCCTCCTTCTGCACCTTCCCCCCCTTCTCGGTTCCTCCGCCTCCTCCTCCTCCTCCCTCCTCCTCCTCCTCCTCCTCCTCCTCCTCCTCCTCGTTGGCCTCCTCCTCCTCCTCCGTCTCCTCCTCCTCCACCACCACCACTTCCTCCTCTCCCTCCTCCTCCTCCTCCTCCTCCTCCTCCTCCTCCTCCTCCTCCTCCTCCTCCTCCTCCTCCTCCTCCTCCTCTTCCTCCATCACCACCACTACCCTCCTTCTTTCTCCCTCCTGCTCCAGGACTCTGGACTCTGGACTCTGGTGGCGTCGGAGAAATCCTCCTGGACTCCGAGCTCTGGTGGCATCGGAGTCACTAAGGACGATGCCATCCCGAGTCCCTAAATCCCCCTGGGCTCCGAACTCTGGTGGCATCGGAGTCTCGAAGGACGATGCCATCCCGTAAGTCCTCCTCCTACTCCTTCTTCTTCTTCTCCTCCTCCTCCTCCTCTTCCTCCTCCCTCTTTACGAAGATGCTAGTCTGCCCGTACACCGACTAATCTTTTTACCTGGCCACGGCCGAGCCTCTCACGGAAGACGTGGGGCTCGCGGGCGCCGCGGAGGGAGAGGCCCTTGTCATGCCCGAGTGGGCTCCCCACGTAGGACTGCGTGCCTCAGGGAGGGCGTTCGAGGTCATGTGCCCCGAAGGGGAGCGCATGTGAGGCACGATCACGATCATCTTTTTCACAGTTCCTCTGCGTTGGAATGCAAGGTCAGGTCCCGCCTCAGAATCCAGGCCTGTTTACAATGGGGAGTCACGGCACGCGTTCGGCGCAGTGGCACGGCAGTTGCAGGATCCTCCTGGACTCCTCGAGGTTCGTTCGTCCGCTCGCTTCTCCTCCCTCCCACACCTCTTCCTCCTCCTCTCCTCCTCCTCCGCCGAGGAGGAGGACGAGGAGGAGGAGGAGGAGGAGGAGGAGGAGGAGGAGGAGGAGGAGGAGGAGGAGGATGTGGAAGAGGAGGAGGAGGAGGAGGAGGAGGAGGAGGAGGAGGAGGAGGAGGAGGAGGAGGACAATGGCGAGCTTGGCGCAGGCGGTGGATGTGCTCCGCAGAATGCGCATGTCGGGTGCCCCCCCGCGTGGAGGGGGCGGCCCTGCGGCGTCTTCCGCTGCTCCTGGTGCCGCCCCTGCTCCTTCCTCCCGTGCCTTCTCGTCATCCCCTCCCCCTCCTCCCCCTCCTCCTCGTTCCTGCTCCTCCTGTTTCCTCCTCCGCCTCCGCCGCCTCTCCTCTCCATTTCCTCTCGTTCCTCCTCCTCTCTTCCTCCTCCCCCTCCTCCGCCGCCCCTGCGCCTCCTCCGCCTCCTCCGCCTCTCCTCCTCCTCCCCTCCTCCTCCTCCTCTCTCCTCCTCCTCCCTCCTCCTCATCCTCCTCCTCCTCCTCCTCCTCCTCCTCCTCCTCCTCCTCCTCCTCCTCCTCCTCCTCCCCCCTCGTCCTCCCCCTCCTCGCGCGCTTTTGTCTCTTCTGGGCCCGACTGGGCACCCGCATCCACACGTGGGGCGCCACCATTCCACTTGTTTATGAGAACTGCACGCGCGCTCCGGTCGTATGTAGTGCGGTAGGACCCTCCTGAGGGGAAACCTCAGGCCCCCTGGGGCACCCGCTTGCTTCTGCTTCCTATCAGCAGACATGCAGACCCTTTCCATCCAATTGCTTTCTGATTGCAGGGGACAGCCACCCTCAAGGCTCTGTAATTCGCCAGTGTCCTCTCCTTCCTCCTGTCCCTTCACCTCCTCCTTCTCCTCCTCCTCCTCGTCCTCTTCCTCCTTCCCCCATCGTCCTCCTCATCCTTCCCCCTCGTTTTTCAGGGGGGAGGAAGGGGAGGAGAGGGAGGGGGAGCAAGAGCAGGATGGAGGAGGATGGAGGAGGGGGAGGAGGAAGGGAATGACTAAACCAGGTCTGACGTAGCTAGTGTTTTTCGGGTGACGGCAGTTCGGGGTCGTGGAACGGGGCCTGGGGGGCGCCCCCCAGTACACATCACTAAACCAGGTCCCACTAAACCCAGTTCTGCCCATGCCCGATCCTGTGCAGCCTGTACCAGGGGACCCTCCATTTCGTGCCTCGGGGCACGGTGGTGGATGATGCGGATGAGGATGGGGATGAGGATCAGGGTGATGAGGAGGAGGATTATCAGGAGGAGGAGGACCAGTGCAAAGCCAAGACGCATCAACGATGTTGCAACAACCGCACCCTCCAAGTTCTCTCGTCATAGGTCCCTGCAAGACTGGTTTTCACTGCTGGAAGTGTCCCGTTGGAAGACAACCGTCTGAGAATCTTCTACCGTACCAAAACACCACTCCTTGAATTTCAACACCGCGAATCAACTTTACTGATGCGTCCTCACGATCCTCATCGTGCCAGAACCCCACTCTTCGGACGTCAGCACAGCAAATTAACGAACTTGTTGCGCCCTGACAAACCATTTTGTGTCGGACACCATTCCTGCGAAGTCAACCGTAAGAATCCGTTGACTTGCTGTAGACGTTTTAAGACGGCTGTGCGCGGCGCTGAGGCGAGAGGCACATGTTGAACAAGAGCCGCCCTCCATCCGTGAAGCTCTTGCACACTTTGAAGACGAATGTGCGCGGCGCTGATGCGAGAGCCGCATTTTGAGCAACAGCCGCCCTCCATCCGTGAAGCTCTTGCGCACTGTGAAGGCGAATGTCGTGGATCTAAGGCGAGAGCCTCATTTTGAAAAGGAACCGCCCTTCATACGTAAAACTCCAGGATATCTTTCAGACGAATGGGCGCGGTGCTGAGGCGAGATTCTGATTGTGAAAACCACCCGCCTCCCACCGCGCTAAGGCGAGATTCTCATCGCGAAAACCGCCTTCCATCCGTGAAGCTCTTGCGCACTTTGAAGACGAATGTGCGCGGTTGTAAGGCGAGAGCCACATGTTGAAAGCCATCTCTCCCCCATCCGTGAAACTCTCGCAAATTTCGAAGGCCTTGCGACCAGTGCCGCCGACCCGGAAGCGGGACGGCGACGACGACGACGACGACGACGACCACGACAACGACGACGACGACGGCGACGACGACGACGGCGATAACGACGACGACGTTCACGTTCTGGAGCCGGCAGCTTCTCCCAGGGAGGGGTGCTACCCCAAGGGGGGGGGGTCACACCCCCCAGGGCCCCCCCCCAGGACCTCCCCCAGGACATCCCCCAGTACCACCCTCCCCCTCCGTCGGGGGAGGGATGAAAGGCAAGGAGTTTCCCTTCGGCTCGATTACGACGTTTGATCGGTTTCCCTTCAGTTGGTTCGTTTGAGAGGGAGTGGTGACGACGACGACTCAAATGGAGAAGTCTCTCACACACGTCGACAGGGTCGGCGGATTTCAAGCTTCAGGAGCACAAATGGTGAGGAGGTCTCAGGCGAAACGCGGGGTCTGCCTTACTGACACGTCTCGGGGCTCGGCAGGGTTTTAAAAGGACAACGGGTGGAGGAGGAAGCGAAGGTTCTGTCCCTCGGGGTAGACGGGAACAAATCTGCGTATGAGGCTGATGAGTGTGAGGCGTATGAGGATGATGAGTGTGATGATGAAGATAGGATAATGAGGATGAGGTTGAAGATGAGGAGCGCTGGCTTCGGTTGGGTTCCTCGCATATGTTTGCTGGCGTGGACGCGTGAAGATCGCACAAGGCGCTAGGCGCTTACAGGCCCCATGTCATGGATGATGAGGAGGTGGGAGCAGAGGATGGAGAGCTGGAGAGGAGTACGTAGCACCCCGCAGTTGCGGATAAGAGTGAGGGGGCGGCGGGGACATCGGCAGTGGCGGGGTGGGTCGCGGGTGGGTCGCAGGCGGGTGGCGGGCGGGTCGCGGATGGGTCCCGGGTGGGTCGCGGGCCAGGTCGCGGGGGGACAACAACACCACCAGCAACAACATCAACAACGCCAACACCAACACCAACACCAACAGCAACAGCAGCAGCAACATCAACAAGAACAACACTATCAGCAGCAACGGCAACAGCCCCATCAACAGCAACAACACCATCAACACCGACACAACCATTAACACAACACCACTACCACCAACAACATCTTTGACACCACCGCCACCAGCAACAGCAGCATCAGTAACACCAGCACCACCACCGCGAGCAAAAACAACAACAACAACAACCATCACACTAACAGCAGCAACAACCACCCCACCATCAACAACAACACCAACAACACCAACAACAGCAAACACACCACCACTACCAACAACAACACTTACAGCAATCTGCAACGCAGAACCTCACTTCAGCCACGCGCCCAGGGACATTGAATGACCGTTCGGCCCCCTCATTCTGATGTTGATCAGCAGGAGGAAGAGGATGAGGAGGAGGGAAGGAGAGCTGAAGGGAAAGCAGGATGAAGGAGGAAGGAGGAGGAGAAGGAGGAGGTGGAGGAGGAGGAGGAGGAGGAGGAGGAGGAGAGCTGGAGGCATCACGGACTGGAAGCCTCTTGTTGGCGTGGTCAATGGGTCCACTGCTCTGGCAGCTCTCTCCCTCGACCCCGTCTGCGCTCGAATCACAAAGCTTATTCAAGATATGTGGATCTGTTGGCCCATTCGGATGACGTGGTCTATTGGCACACACGTTCTGGTACATCATCATAGTGGCGAGCTAGCATCAGGGTATCAAGCATTTTCGGCTGAGTCGCTCGATCGTCCCATTCTTGCCATGCATTTTGTAATATGGACGGCGTAATGTCCATGTTGGGACGGACACCGTGGATTGTGTATCGTTTTCTACAGGTAGGATGAAGGTGCCCAGATGTGGTCGCAATCGGCCAGCAGATGTCCAGAGTGGAAGGATAAACAGAAATATTGTGCATGCGAGGACGAGGGCGAAAGTGGGAGTGCGGGGGGGGGGGGGAAGGATAGGGTGGAAGGAGGCGGAGGAGTAGGGGGAGGATGAGGAGGAGGATGAGGAGGAGAATGAGGAGGAGGAGGAGGAGGAGGAGGAGAGGAGGAGGAGGCGGAGGACGGAGGAGGAGGAGGAGGAGGAGGAGGGGAGGGAGGAGGGAGGAGGAGGAGGAGGAGGAGGATAAATTCTCTGGAACTCGCTGATGCCCCCAGTGTGGTAGGATAATGGGGAGGAGTGACTTCCAGGACTTCTGCCATCACGTAGTGAGTCTCGGGCTTTCGAAAGCTCAGCACTTCAGAGGAGGACCACTGGACGGCCTGTCCCCTCGCATGCCGCGCGCCCCCGCGCGGAGAGTCGGGGGAGAGGTACGGAGCCGTGCCTCCTCACCTACAACAACGCCATCGCGGTGTGCAAGAAGGCAGCGTGGGGGGGTTGCCACGTGCCTCTCCTCCTCGTCCCCGCCCCTCCTACCCCCTCACAGGGCTCCTCCGCTGCTTCCCTTCTTTCTCAGATCTGGACCTCTCTCTCTCTCTCCTTCCCCCCCCCTCCTCCTCCTCCTCCTCCTCCTCCTCCTCCTCCTCCTCCTCCTCCTCCTCCTCCTCCTCCTCCTCCTCCTCCTCCTCCTCCTCCTCCTCCAGTGTGCAGGGCCCCCCCCTTTCCTCCCTCCTCCCGCCCCGCCCCACTCTGCGAGGCCGCCGGCGCCCCCGGGGCCACCCTTTTGGAGCGCGCGGCGTCGCTCGCCCAGCGCGGTCTGCAGCGGACCGGCGTGCCCCCGTGGGCGCTCAGCACGACCAGTCTACACCTTAGGCGATGCTTAAGAAAACTTAAGTTTTCGGCCAGAATCTCGATTATTCTTAACGTTTCAATGTAAATCTTAAGATTTGAATGGAAATGTTGGGTTTTGTATTCAAGTTCTGAGACTATGAATTTCTTAACCCATGATTTCTTAAGCATTTCGCAGGGTGTATGCCCTGCATCGGGCTTCGGTAGCCGCACCATCTCGCTGTAGATGCGATCCGAGGGGAGCTGCAAACGCGCTTCCAATACCCTGAACATCGCAGTATTTCGCAGCGCCTCGTCACTGAGGTGCTCCAAGGCTGCTGGTGGGATGAGCGTGGGCCCCGCCGCCGTCTTCGTGTTGAACGAGCGTATGGCGGCCCGCACTTCTGCCAGCGCGATGGGGGGCAGGTCGTCCCAGCCGCTGGCGTCGGAGGGTGGTTGGACCTCGGGGAGGCCATGGGTGGTCCAGACCTTGGTCCAAGTTTCCAAGGTAGAGTTGGCCATTGTGTGCGGCTGAGCTTCACTTTGGAACCCGACGACCTTGCCGAGCTCTGACTTTGGAGGATGCGTGTGCACGACTGGCTCCTCCACGGCATGCATCATGTGCCCATTGTTGCCAGCCTGCCTGAACCTTGCGCTGGGCAGCGCGCATTACCTCGTCGGCACGACCGACGATGGCATCCACCATGTCCTCGAAGTGGGGATCGGAGAGGCTGGTGAGGCCATGCAGGAAGAAGTGTCGATTTGACGTTCAGAACGGAAGTGTACCGCCCAGCGCTTCGCAGTGGCCCATGTGGTCGCGTGCGTGTTTGAGTAGCTGCGACGTCGAGGTGGCTCCCACGACAACTGACGCCTTCGAAACGTGGAGCCCCATCTTGACCAACGTAGCGGCAAGCCCTGGCGTCGACCTTGTCGTGACGACCCGAGAGCTCGTAGTCTATGCTTGGAACACAACATTCCACAGCACCTTTAGCTCATCGGGCAGGTCGTCGGCCTGAGCGTCGAGCCCGTCAGCATCTGCATGGCGCAATGGCGGGTCGACGGCGTCGTCGGCGTGACCGTCGACCCCCAAAAGTCTCAGCGCCAGAAACCGACTCATTTCAACGGCGTGATCGCCATCCCTGCCTTGCTCGGCTGGGAGGTGTCCGCGTGACGGCACCTCTCACTCTCCGCTTCTATCTCCTGCATACCGCGCGAGGCCTTTTTGAATTAGCCTCCTAATGTATGCCAGGGGCACGGGTATCGGGCACTGCCCGCAGGCGGTACTACAGGAAGTGAAGCAGGCTCGCTCATCTGGAACAATGCACCGCGTTGGCCTGTCCATGCCGCCGAGGGTGAAGGCGACGGGGAAGTGCGGCAGCGGCGGCACCGTCTTGCAGTCCTCGACCACGCACGGCAGGGAGTGAACCTGCGAGACCAGGTTGTTGGCCATGATGAAGTAGTGGATGGTGGACTTGCCGTTGGGCATGACGCAGGTATGCGCCTCAGGGACCATGTGGGCCCCTGCCATGAATTCGATCCAGCCGCGGATGTTGACGTCCTGGATGTCCGCGTTCCAGTCGCCGCCGAACATCCATTCGTAGCCTGTGGAGTTCCGCGCTGCCACGCGCTTCGCCAACTCCTAACGATGGCCACGTTCTCGCCCGTGATGCCCACACTCGGGGCCAGGTAGACGCTCGCCACGGCCATCCCGCCCTTCGCGCCCCGGTTAGCGCGAGCAGCCACGGCGCGCCCGGGGTAGGTCACGTGACCGCCATCATTCGACTAGGCGTAAGAGTGACTTTTCGCCGGAGTGATCTTTGGTGCGGGCACAGATGGGCCCCCAGATGGCTGAAAGAGAAGCGGTAGCAGCGGCCTGCGCGCTTGCTTTTGGCCCCCTGCGGTCCCAAAAAGCCGCGCACCAAAGGTCACTCTGGCCCAGGGTCACTCTTGCGTGTAGCCGAATCATCAGGAGGCTGAGTGATGCGCACACTGGTGGGGGCCAAGATGCGCGACCCACCAAACACTGCAGCGGCAGAGTCGCCAGCAGGGGCTCGAGCGGGAGCCCACGGCCCATGCCAGCCGGGGTCCAAGGCACGGCCCCGGACCTTGCCAAGTCGGTCCTCCGTCACTCGGGCCTCCTGGCCCACGAAGAGCCTGCCGCGAAGCGAGGCGAGGTGCTCGAGGAGCGGGCCAGAAGACCCAGCGTTGTGGCAGTCACCGCCATTCCGCCGGGCGCGCGGACGGCCTGGCCGTCCGTCACTTCCCCGTGGGTCGTGGTCGGACTGTGCCGTGGGAGGACTGGGCGAAGGCCTCCCCGAAGCGTGGCAGTCAGGAGCCCCAGCTCGTCGCGGCGCAGGCCGCCGTCCAAGCCTGCGTCGCGTGCCCCGTGATCCCTGGGCCCGCCCTCCGGCCGCCTGAGGCCCCGCCCGCCTGTGCCCTGTCTCCCCAAGTAGAGCTGTGCGCAGCCCGCCCAGCTCTCACCGGAAGAGGCTCGCTCTCGCCCCGCAGACCAAGAAGTCCCGTGGTCCCGCAGGGTGTTTTTAGTCTGACTCGCCATCCTTGGGATGCCGTCGGGGCTCCCGTCTGCATGTGGAGTGCGAGATCCGATCGGGCAGCGAGTTTTTTTTTTTTTTGTTGTTTGTTTTTTTTCCCCCGTTTTTTAATGTTTTTTTTTTCTCCCCCGGCAAAACAGGTTCAAACCAGCCACCACCAACGTCGCCTACGGCGAGCGCGCGGGCGCGGCGAGCGAAAATCGATGGGCGCAGGGCGCCGAAAAATGCCGGCTAAGCAGAGCAAGAGGAGGAGGAGGAGGAGGAGGAGGAGGAGGAGGAGGAGGAGGAGGAGGAGGAGGAGGAGGAAGAGGAGGAGGAGGAGGAGGAGGAGGAGGAGGAGGAGGAGGAGGAGGAGGGCTCCTGTGGCAGAGTGCGCCTCTGTCTGGCCCTTCGTCGCTCGCCCGGGGGCGGGCCCGCGGGCCTCTCGCCGCAGGGCGTGGCCGACCAGGTCGTCGACCATCTTCCTTGCGTCCCCGCCCTCCTCCAATGTGCCGCCGGCTGCTGCGTGAACAGCATCCCCACGACAAAAGAGGCACAGGGGGAGGAGGGCGAGGGAGGGGCTGGGCCTTGCGGGCCTTCGTGGCGGCGGCGACGGCGAGGAGCGTGCCCTGCAGCCCCTTGAGGGCCTTCCTGGCGCGTGGCCTCATCGCTTGCACCTCCCTCCTGGGGCACGCCGGCAGCTTCCAGCGACTTGTGGAGCTCGTCGGAGGACAGCTCGAAAAGATCCACGTCCATGGCCAGCTCCTTGCTGTCCTGGTCGTCGTTGCCAGCAGGCTGCTGCTTTGCTTCAGGAGGTGGTGGAGGTTGTGCCTGGCGGGTGGCCTTGAGCTTGGCGATGGTGCCAGCAATGGCGTCAAGCTCTTTGAGGAGGTCTTGCCCAGCGCCGAGCCCTGCGGCCACGGACCCCAGTTGCTCGACACTGAGCGCGAAGTTAGGGAGGAGCTCGTGCAGGGTGGGCTTGCCAGGGGCCCCAGGTGGGGCTCGGCTTGGCGCGAGCTTGCTGAACTCCGCCTCGAGACACAGAATCTCTTCCTCGGCCTTGCGATGCGCATCAGCAGTCGCATCCCGTACCACCACGAGGGCGTCGATGCGCTTCTGCAGCTCCTCGTAGTCCTTCGCCAGCTTTTTGGCCTTGGTGCGCACATTGCTGATGCGCGAACCCAACGAGTTGATCTTGTCCTCAATCAGGCGGTCCTCGAAGAGCTCGGTCTTCAACTCTGTCTTCTCGTCACCAAGCTTCTTCATGCAGTCCTTGTCGGCTTCAATTGGAGAGCCGTCCAGGATGTTGGGAAGGTCTGAGATCTGCTTGATGCGAGTGCGACTGGAGGAGAAGGAAGAGGAGGAGGAGGAGGAGGAGTAGGAGAAGGAGGAGGAGGGGGGCGAGGAGGAGGAGGAGGCGGAGGAGGAGGAGGAAGACGAGGAGGGGGCGGAGGAGGAGGAGAAGGAGATGGATGATGAGGGATGAGGCAGAGGGTGGAGGAGGAGGAGGAGGAGTAGGAGGAGGAGGAGGAGGATGATGCCAGGAGGGATGGAGGCGTTGACGGAGGTGGTGGTGGAGGTGGCGGTGGAGGCGGAGGCGGAGGCGAAGGCGGAGGTGGAGGTGGCGGCGGAGGAGGAGGAGGAAGAGGAGGAGGAGGAGGAGGAGGACGATGACGATGACGAGGACGATGACGAGGACGAGGACGAGGACGAGGAGGAGGAGGAGGAGGAGAAGAGGGGAGGAGGAGGAGGAGGAGGAGGAGGAGGAGGAGGAGGAGAGGAGGAGGAGGAGGAGGAGGAGGAGGAGGAGGAGGAGGAGGAGGAGGAGGAGGAGGAGGAGGGTGGAGGAGGAGGCGGCGGCGGAGCGGAGGCGGAGGCGGAGGTGGAGGCAGGCGGAGGAGGAGGAGGAGGAGGAGACAGAGGGCGGATGAAGAGGATGAGGAGCGAGGGATGGAGGCGGTGATGGAGGTGGAGGCGGAGGTGGAGGTGGAGGCGGAGGTGGAGGCGGATGCGGAGGCGCAGGCGGAGGTGGAGGCAGGCGGAGGAGGAAGAGGAGAAGGAGGAGGAGGAGGAGGAGGAGGAGGAGGAGGAGGAGGAGGAGGAGGAGGCTTAGGAGGAGGAGGGGAGGGAGAGCGGGAAGGGCAGGAGGGGCGGGGAAGGATTCGACAAAGGGCGAGGGGAATAGAGGATGTAAGAGGAGGAATAACGGACAGGCCAGTGATTTCGCACCAATGCAACGTAAGTTGTGTGTCCCGTCCCCGTGCCAAGCAGGTCTAGCGGCGTTCGGCCCATCTCGCCACCGCACCTGGGTTGTAAGTCATGCCTGTGGGGATCTCTTGGAGGGCCTCTCGGGAGCCTTTTGGCAATGGTTTTGGGGTGTGGGGTGCCTCTAGGGGGCCTGTCGGAGGCCCTTTGGGGCCTCCTGGGGCTTCTAGTGGCGGTCTCGGGGGTCATTTTGGGGCGGAGCGCTCGAAATGTCGAATCGTGCTCCCGCTCTTGGGGCTCTCTTGGGTCCTGGCCGTCTGGGGGCAGTCTTGTGGCGATCTTGGGGGCCTCTTGGGCTGAGTTGGCGCGTCGGAAGCTCGACAAGGGGAGAACGCTGAAATCATCTTTTTAAATTTTGCTACCGAGGACCCCCACATACTTATACTACATCTGGAGTGGTGATAGTTGAAATGAAGCATACGAGAATGATGCTGGTGGCCGTTGCCCCACCGATACAGTTGGTGACGCCGGTACCGAAGAAGGGTCCAGTAAGTATCTCACCAAGCCCTGTTTCCTTGCATCGTCACCGCATCGTTTACGCGGCAACTCTTTCGTATTTCAGCTGTCGGTGGTAAGCATGCAATGCGCCTTGTACCAATACGTTTCAGGCCACCAGTTCATCAGCTGTCGGTGGTAAGCATGACATGCGCCTTGTACCAATACGTTCCCATGCCTGACGACATATCCGCGCAAACCATCCGGGTTCACCTCGGCGCCCATCTCTGGAATTGATTTCTTGATCTGCTCGCGCAGCGCGGACATTTCGCATTTGGGCGCCATGACGGGGACCGTACCTTCGACGGAGAGTCACCAGCGGTCGCCCGCGTTCACAGATCCAGCGGTCTGAGCCGGCATGAGCCAGGGTGGCTACAGTTCTTGATGATGATGCTGCTGCTGATGATGATGATGATGATGATGATGATGCTTATGATCATGATGATGATGATGACGATGATGATGATGATGGTGATGATGATGATTTTGGTGATGGTGATGGTGATGGTGATGATGATGATGCTGATGCTGATGCTGATGCTGATGCGGATGCTGATGCTGATGATGATGATGCTGATGATGTTGATGATTATGATGGTGGTGATGATGATGACGATGATGATGAGCCGCAGCAGCACTCGCCGCAGCGCCGCGGCCGCCGCGCCGCGGCACCTTACGCCGCTCCGCCGCGGCGTCGCCGGCAGGCGGGGCAGCTGGAGGCGGGCCGAGCGGTGCTGGCGGACATGCGGCGAAGAGGCCCGCCCCCGCGGGCCGCCGCGACGGAAGCCCTTTCCTCCTCCCCCTCCTCCTCCTCCTCCTCCTCCTCCGCCTCCTCTCCTCCTTCGCCTCCTCCGCCTCCTTCTCCTCCTCCTCCTCTTCCTCTGGATCGTTGTGATCATCTCATTCTTAGCTTCGATGGTCGTGCTCGTGGGGTTGGCTTTGCTTCCGAGGGCCGATTGCCGAGACGGCTGGAGAGAGCCAGGTTGCCCGCGGGGACGCCGAACCCCCCCCTGCTTTCGCTGGGCCCCGCCTGGTGTCTTCCTCGAGACGGGCCTGTGGACTCCGCAGGGGCGCCGTGCTGGTCAGTGTTCCGAGCCGCGTCCAGCCGTGGCGACGAGGGGGCCCGCTGCCGAGAAAAGGAAAATGACGACGACAATGAGGGTGGTGATGGTGATAACGATAACGATAACGACGACGATGACGATGAAGATGACGAGGAGGAGGAGGAGGACGAGGACTAGGAGGAGGATGAGGAGGAGGAGTAGGAGGATGAGGATGATGATGATGATGATGATGATTATGATGATGATGACGATGTTGATGATGCTGATGATGATGGTGGTGATCATGATGACGATGATGATCATGTTGCTGATGGTGATGCTGATGCTGCTGCTGCTGCTGATGATGCTGATTCTGTCAATGCTGCTGACGATGATGATGATGACGATGATGATGATGATGATCATGATGTTCATGAGGATGATGATGGTGTTGATGATGATGATGATGCTGATGAGGATGATGATGATGATGATGATGATGATGATGATGATGATGATATTGACGCTGATGATGATTCTTGGGCTTACGCCACACCGCCGACCCCTTGGGGGGGCTCGCAGCGCGTCGCCTTCGCTCATGTTGTCGGTGTCGGTGCCTTTGGGAGCTCGTTTTGAAGCATATTTTGTGCCTCAGAGGTGTATTTTTCGGCTTCGTGTGCGCCTCCCTCTTGATGCTTCCTGTGGAGTTGTGGGGCTCTGTTGGGCCGTCTTGGCCGCCTCTTGGGCTGTCTTAGGCCTTTGTTCGGACTGTCTTGGGTCTCTTTTGGGCCGTTTTGGGCGGCTATTGGCCTGTGTTCGGGCTCTCTTGCGGCCTTGTTGGGACTCTCTTTGGCCGTCTTGGTGCGGTCTTGGGCGCCTGTTTGGGCTGCTCGTGCCGTCGGGAATTCGAAGAGGCAAGAAGGCCCAACACTTTACAAAGCTTAGGCAAATCAATTAGTTTGGCTTCTTGAAGCCCGGTTGGGAGGCCTCTTGGGAGTCTCTTTGGTCGTCTTTGGATGGAACAAGTGGAGCCAACCGCAGAAGAAAACGGAGTGGATGAATGCAACGAACACTGCTCGACAAAGCGCGCGCCAGGAACAACCGCTGAGGTGTTCGGAGTGCCCAAAAGACACAGACGGAAGAGGGCGAGAATTCACGGACGCGGCGCATCTGACAACAGAACAAATGAACCACTATTATAAAACGGGCGCAGCCCATAGGCCAGTGAAATGCCGCGACTGCGACACGCATTACAAGCGATCGCGGGTGTTCAGGTGCTCCGCGTGCCCGAAAGAAACAGATGGAAAAGAGCGAGAATTCGCGGACAGGGCGCACCTAACATACAAGCAAGTGAAGCATTTCTTCGCGAAGGGTTTGGACCATCGCCCAGTCATGTGCCGCGCGTGCCAGGAAGAACGCAATCAGCCGCGAGTGCAGACGTGCTCCGCGCGCCCGAAAGAAGCAGATGGAAAAGAGCGAGATTTCGCGGACAGGGCGCACCTAACAGATAAGCGAATGAAGCATTTCTTCGCGAAGGGTTCGGACCATCGCCCAGTCATGTGCCGCGCGTGCCAGGAAGAACGCAATCAGCCGCGAGTGCTGACGTGCTCCGTGCGCCCGAAAGAAGCAGATGGAAAAGAACGAGAATTCGCGGACAGGACGCATCTGACTGATACGCAAGTGAAGCACTTCTTCGCGACGGGTTCGAACCATCGCCCAGTCATGTGCCGCGCGTGCCAGGAAGAACGCAATCGGCCGCGAGTGCTCTCGTGCTCCCCGTGCCCGAAAGAAGCAGATGGGAAAGCGCGAGAATTCGCGGACAGGACGCATCTGACAGATAAGCAGGTGGAGCACTTCTTCGCGATGGGCTCGGAGCATCGCTCGGTGGTGCGCCGAGCGTGCCACGAGCAAAGGCAGGTTGCGAAGAAGTTGGAATGTTCCGCGTGTCCCCTGAAGAAGGACGGATCAAAGCCTACGTTCACTGACGGCGGCCATCCGTCGATCGCCCAGAAGAAGAATTATTCCCACCGGGGCACTCTGGTGGTTTGCGCCAAGTGCTATAAGGCGGGACGGGCGCCGCGGAGAGACCCGCCGAGACGCCCTGCGGAGACAAGTGACGAGCGCGGCAGGAAGCAGCGCAAGTTGCGAGGAATCTAACCGCGAGTCGCGCGCGCGTCGTCTTCGGGGCTCTTTTGGGCCGTCCTCGGCCTCTCTGGGCCCGTCTTGGCGCCCTCTTGGCCTGTCGCGGGGCCCTCGTGGAGGCTTCTTGGACCGTCTTGGCGCGGTCTTGGGAGGCTCTCGGGCCGCCCCGGAGCAGGGGGCGCCCCAACAGGCGCGCGTGCGAAAAAATATACGGCTTACGAAGAGGACGGGCGATTTTATACAGCTAAAGGCCCTCCAGGGGCGCATCGTGAAAGCCTCTTGGGGCGTCTTGGGGGCCTCTTCAGCCGTCTGGAGGCCGTCGTCAGCGTTTTGGATCGCTCTTGGACCGTCGAGGACCATGTGGAGCTCTCGTCGAGGCCGCTCGGACCGCTCCTGGAGCGCTCTCGGAGCCGTTTTCGGAGCCCTTTTGGGCCGTCTTGGACGTGTGTTGGCCCGTCTTGGGGCCCTCGGGGGCTCTGTGGGAACCCTCTTGGAGGCGTCTTGGGCCGCCTGGGAGCGGGTTTGGGTGGCTCTGGGGCCGTCCAGGAGCGGGGGGCGCCCCAGAAGGCGCACGTGTGAAACAATATACGTTTGACGAAAGAAACGAGGGACTTTTTGCGTTTAGAGGCCCTCTTAGGGCGCATCGTGGATGCCTCTTGGGGCGTCTTGGGGGCCTCTTCAGCCGTCTGGAGACCGTCGTCAGCGTTTTGGATCGCTCTTGGACCGTCGAGGACCATGTGGAGCTCTCTTCGAGGCCGCTCGGACCGCTCCTGGAGCGCTTTCGGGGCCGTTTTCGGAGCCCTTCTGGGCCGTATTGGACGTCAGTTGGCCCGTCTTGGGGCCCTCGAGGGCTGTGTACGGACCCTCTTGGAGGCGTCTTGTCTTGGGCCGTCTGGGAGCGGGTTTGGGTGGCTCTGGGGCCGTGCAGGAGCGGGGGACCCCCAAAGGCGCACGTGTGAAAATATATACGTTATACGAAGGAAACGAGCGATTTTTTGCGTCTAGAGGGCCTCTTGGGGGGACTCTTGGATGCCTGTGGGGGCGTCTGGGGAGGCCTCGTGAGCCGTCGGGAGGTCGTCGTCGTCGATGTTTCTGATCGCTCTTGGACCGTCTTGGACCATGTGGAGCTTCGTGGAGGCAATTCGGAGCGTTGCTGGAACGCTTTTGGGGCCGTTTTCGGAGCCCTCCTGGGCCGTCTTGGACGCCTGTTGGCCCATCTTGGGCCCTCTAGGGGTCTGTGGGGGACCCTCTGCGAGGCTTCTGGGGCCGTCTGGGAACGGGTTTGGGAGCCTCTTGGGCCGTCGGGGAGCATCGGAAAGATCCAAAGCTGAATTTTTAAAAGTTGCACATTTCACGAAGGGAATGGTCCAATTTTGGTGTCTAGGAACCCTTGTGGAACGCATCTCGGAGGCCCTCGGGGGGGCTCGTGGGGACCTCTTCTGCCGTCGAGGACGCCTCGTGGCCCGTCTTCGGGCCAACTTGGACGTCTTGGAGCGCTCGTGGGGCGTCCCAAACCCATTTCGAAGCCACCAGACGCGTCCCTACACGATTGTCACGTGTTTTTTCCACGATTTTCGGGAGCGGATGAGACCTCCGAGGGGGTTCCGGGCCGCCCGGGGCCGTCCGGCCGGACCCCCCCCCCCTCCAAATGGACCGGACCGGGCTCCCGGGGGAGGGGTTTGGGGAGGGGGAACATTTCACACGCCGATGAACCCCAAGGGGTCGGCGGATTATGATGATGCTGATGTTGCTGATGCTGATGCTGATGCTGATGCGGATGATGATGCTGACGATGATGATGCTGATGATGCTGCTGATGATGTTTTTTTTTATTCTTAGTATTAGCATCATGCTGCTGATGATGGTGCTTTTGATTATGTTGATGATGATAGTGCTGATGGTGATGACGATGATGACAATGCTGCTGCTGATGACGATGATGATGATGATGATGATGGTGATGCTGGTGCTGCTTCTGATGATAAGAATGATGCTGATGATGCCGATTCTGATGATTTGAAACTGGTGATGATGACGAAGATGATGCTGATGATGCTGACGATGATGCTGCTCATAATGATGATGCTGCTCATGATGATGCTGATGCTGCTGATGATGATGCTGATGAAAAAGGAGGAGAAGGTGGAAGGAGATTATGATGATGCTGATGGTGTTGTTGTTGATGATGATGAAGATGATGATGATGATGATGATGATGATGATGATGATGATGATGATGATGATGATGACGACGATAATGCTGATGCTGATGATGATGCTGATGATGATGCTGGTGATGATGATTCTGATGATGATGATGATGCTGATGCTGATGCTGCTGATGATGATGATGCTGATGATGATGCTGCTGCTGCTGATGATGCTGCTGCTGCTGCTGATGATGATGATGATGATGAGGATGATGAGGATGATGAGGATGCTGCTGCTGATGATCATGATGAGGATGAGGAAGAGGAGGAGGAGGATGAGGAGGAGGAGGAGGAGGAGGAGGAGGAGGGGAGGAGGAGGAGGAGCAGGAGGAGGAGGAGGGGGAGGAGGAGGAGGAGGAGGAGAGGAGGAGGAGGAGGAGGAGGAGGAGGAGGAGGAGGAGGAGAGAGGAGGAGAGGAGGATGAGGAGGAAGCGGGAGGAGGAGGAGGAGAGAGGAAGGAGAGAGGAGGAGGAGGAGGAGGAGGAGGAGGAGGAGGAGGAGGAGGAGGAGGAGGAGGAGGAGGAGGAGGATGGAGAGGATCGGAGGATCGGGAGGATCAGGAGAAGGAGAGGAGAAGGAGGAGGAGGAGAAGAGTGAGGAGGAGGAGAAGGGGAAGGAGAAAGAGGAGGATAGAAGAGGAGAGACGAGGAGAGAGGAGGAGAGGAGAGAGTGGAGGACGAGTGAGAAAGGAAAAGGAGAGGACTAGAGGAGGAGGACGGAGGAGAGGAGGAGGCGGAGGAGGAAGGAAGGAGGAGGAGGAGGAGGAAGAGGAGGGAGGAGGAGGAGAGGAGGAGGAGGAGGAGGAGGAGGAGGAGGAGGAGGAGGAGAAGGAGGAGGAGAGGAGGAGGAGGAGGAGGAGGAGGAGGAGGAAGAGTTGGAGGAGGCCGAGGGGCATCCGCCGCCAGCTCGAGAACGCTCCCGACCCCGGGGGCCCTCTCCAATCGGGGCGCCCTTCCTTCTCTCCATGGGATCCCTGCTCGCTGCCGAGCCGGTCGAGGGCGGAGGCGGCCCAGGCCCGTCCAGACGAGGGCCAGAGCGGACGAAGGATCGAGGAGGAGCGAGGATCGATCATAATCGAGGATCGAGGGTCGATGATAATCGAGGAAGAGGATCGAGGATCAATCAGGATCGATGGTCGACGAGGATCGATGAGGACCGAGGATAAGGATCGAACATCGATGATGACCTGGGGTCGAGGGTTGATGCTGATCGAACCAGGAAGGAGGATCGGAGGATCCAGGATCGAGGGTCGGTCGCTTGCCTGTTGAAGAAGCACAACGGGCCCCTCGAACGGGGGCCTTGAGCGCGAGGCTTACGGAAGAGAGCAGGAGCGAGGCAGAGAGAGGACAGCAGGCGGAGGACAGGAGAGGGGCTACGCCATTGATCCAAACCCTCAGTTATATTTTAAGTCCCATAGTTTATGGTTCGTAATAATATTACTATTGCTACGAGTCGTACTAACCATAACATTAACAATACTACTAAAACGAACCATTGAATCGCATGATGATGTTAGTCGTGATCGTAGTACTAATGCAAGGCATCCATTACAAATTCTAGACGCTTCGCGTATCCCCACCAGTCTTACCGCCCTCTGGACTTTTCCTTGCGGGCCGCGAATCAAAAAAGTATCCCCACCAGTTCTGCTCTTGCCGCCTGACCGTTGCCTGGTGGCCGCAATCAAAAAAGTATCCCCACCAGCGTGGCGTAGTCGCTTCGCTCTTTGACGGCGCGCAGTTGCTCCGTGTCGCTCGCGAACGAACAAGTATCCCCACCAGCCCATCCAGAAACGATTTCCAGGCGAGTTGAGGTGATCAGAGAAGTGCGGGAACACAGGTGGACGGCCGAACTGTGCGAATGAGGGAGGAGGAGAAGAATGAGGGTGGATGGATGGATTTGGGAGTGGGGAGAAGAACTATGAATATGATGATGATGCTGATGCTGATGATGATGATGATGATGATGATGATTATGATGATGATGATGATGATGATGATGAGGATGATGATGATGATGATGATGATGCTGATGCTGATGATGATGATGATGATGGTGATGATGATGATGATGATGATGATGGTGATGGTGATGATGGTGATGATGATGATGATGATGATGATGATGATGATGATGATGATGATGATGATGATGATGATGATGATGATGATGATGATGATGACGATGATGATGATGATGATGATGATGATGATGATGATGATGATGATGATGATGATGATGATGATGATGATGATGATGATGATGATGATGATGATGATGATGATGATGATGATGATGATGATGATTGATGATGGTGATGATGATGATGAGGAGGAGGAGGAGGAGGAGGAGAAGGAGGAGGAGGAGGAAGAGAAGGAGTAGGAGTAGGAGGAGGATCAGGAAGAGGAGGGCGAGCAAAAGGGCCAGATGTCTCTTGGATGCCTCTCGGAGCCTCTTGGGATATCGCTTGGGCGCTTCTTGGTGGCGTCTTGGGACGTCTTGGGGGTCTCTTGACGGTCCCGGAGGGCTCTTGGACGTCTTGGGTGCCTCGGGGGCACCTCGTGGAGCGTCTGGGGGGGCATCTTGGGTGCCTCGGGAATCCTCTCGAAGCTTTTTGGGGGCCTCTTGGGGGTCTCTTGGGAGCCTCTTGGAGGCCTCTTGGGGCCGTCTGGGCGCCTCTTGGGGCCCTCTTGGGGCGCTCTTGGGAGCTTCAGGGCGCTCTTGGGGCCATCTTGGAAGAGATCGATCAAGGAAGGGGGGGTCCTTAATTAGCGCCTCCCCTCGGGAGCCCCGAAAATCACCTCTTGGGCCCCTCGCGAGGCGATCTTGGAGCGCTCTTGGGCGCTCTTGAGGCCGTCTTGGGGCTCTCTTGGGCCTCTCTTGGGGCTCTCATGGGCCATCTTGGAACCGTACTAATGCCTCGGACGGCCATCGGAAGCGAAAAGGCGAGAAGGCAAAACACATAGATCTTCCTTAGGTTTTGGAAGGATTTTGGCTTCTTCGTGGCCTCCTTGGGGAGCTCTTTGGCCACTTGGAGCCGTCTTGGGGCGGCCTTGGGGCCTCTGGGAGCATCTTGAGCCATCTTGGAGGTTATCTTGGGCTCTCTGAGGCCTTCTTGGAGCCTGGGCCATCTTGGACGCCCCGACGCGTCGCGAAACGCCCCGTCCAGGTCCGGGGGGATGGGGTAGGCCTCCTCGAATGGGCAGAAAGGGGGTTGGAAAAGGAAGCTCCCTAGACCACCTACGCCCAGAGAGCTGGTGGGACTCCCGGAGTTCCTCGCGGATTTCTTGGATCGGCGCTGGGCCCTCCCGGCGGGTCCTGCAGCGCCGATCCAAGAAATCTTCGCGCCTCTCCAAACAGTTGTGCTGACGTATTTCTCACATCCTCATCCTGCCCTGCAGTGGCCGCTGTTGAGCAGGACGGGACAGGCGACCCAAACTTTTGGGATGTCGCATTCGCTGTTGGGCATCGTCCCTGTGTTTTCCGTCAGTTCGGGCGTGCCCCTCAGAGAGATCCAGAGCAGATCGAGGGTCGAGGGTCGCGTTTCGTGGATCGAGGGTCGAGGATCGTGGCTCGAGGATCGTGGGGCGAGGCTCGAGAAGCGATGGTCGAGGGTTGAGGTTCGATGATCGACGGTCGAAGGGTCAAAGGCTCAATGGTCGAGAGGAGACGGACCCCTGAACCGGAAAGAACCCTGACCTCCCGGCAGACCGCTTGTTTCCATCGCGGCGCTTTTCTTCTCGGCTTCGGGTTACCGCTCTCGGGACCTGGGACCATCAAACACGGATCCGGGACGGAACGAAGCCTTTGGGAAGGGTGCGTGCCCCCCGAAGAGGGCCAGAGCAGATGGAAGGTCGAGGTCGAGGCTCGAAGGTGGAGGGTTTCGAGGGTCGAGGGTCGAACATCGAGATTCGAGCCGAGGGATGAGGGTCGAGGGAGGATCGAGGGTCGAAGGCTCGAGTGCCGAGGACTGATGGTCGAGGCTCGACGTTCGAGGGTCGAGGGTCGAGTCTCGAGGCCCTAGGAGGGAGGACTGCAGCCTGAGGGTCCAGGTTTTGAGCGTCGCAGGATGCTCGAGAGGCCTCGAGGGGCCTCCCAGGGCTCATTTCGACCCCTCCGATTCGATTCGATTCGAATTCGATGGCCTCCGATTCCGATTCGATTCGACTTTGGATCCCGATTTGGGCTCCAATATCTTGTTGGAGGCCTATTAGCCTGCCGATTTCCGCCGATTCGACGTTTCCCGACTCGGCTGCCGATTTCCGCCGATCCGATTCATTTCGATTGCCGATCCGACTCATCGATTCGATTCTGGGCTCTCCTGCCTCCTGGCTTGCGGAGGCTTCCAGAGGCATCTGGACACCTTCAGAAGCCTTCAGGGACCTGCCGTGTGGACTGATAGGGGCCAGGGATGGGGTCGGAGTATTGTGCGCGCCACATCCCCGATGCTTCGGGGACGTGGTGCGATCTGGAGCCAGATTTATTCCATCCCGACGTCGCCGATGCAGCGCCGATGCATCGCCGATGCATCGGCGATGTGTCGGCGATGCGGTGCGATTCTCCGACCGTCCCCGGAGTTCTCTGGAGGTCCGAACGGGACCCCGAAGGTCTCCAGAGGCCTCCCGAGGTCGAACGGAGGCTGGAGAAGAAGTCCCAGCAACGCCCCTGACAAAGCCTCTACCCCGAAGCGCTCTCTTCAGAGGGGAACATGGTACCAATATCGCTACCCTTCGGCCGTCTTCCCCTTTTTCGGCCTCCTGGGAGGCCCTCGTCGCCACCGCCGGCTTCGCCTGGAAAGCCTGGTCAGAACGCACCCTTGGAGAGGTCCGGGGGGTAGTAGTACAGTGGGGGCGCGCATCAAGAAACCATATACTTTTCGTCGGGGTATCCTGGGTTTCTTCGCTCCGCGCGCTGCTCGGTGACTTCCCGCAGCCGTTGGAGGAGCTGCTGCGTTCAGGGTGCTCCAGGCTTCCCCTAGGTGCACCTCGCCCGCGGGTTTTCAGGGTTGGGTTTCTTGTGAGGGTTTCTTGCGACCGCGCCCACACTGTACCGGTATCATTTGGTTTGCCCATCTCTGGCCCCACCTCGACTGCACGTCAGAGCGACTGGAGGGTTTCTCCGAGGGGCGTAGGCGACCCGTCCTCGTCCTCATCCTCCTCCTCTTCCTCCTCCTCCTCCTCCTCGCCCTCCCCTCCTCTGGTCGCCTACAACCCCGGGGGAAACCGTCCAATCTCGACTGCACGTAGTAAGAGCGACCCTTCTCCGGAGTGGCCCCTGGTGCGAGCCCATTGCCCCCCCCCGTATCGCCGCACGCGATGCGATGGCAGCGGCGCCTGTGCGCTTGGCTTGGGCCCCCTCGCGGTCCCCCAAAGCCGCGCACCAAAGGTCACTCTTGCCTACTCTTTAGTCGGGCCTGTCCGCTCTTTAGTCGGGCCTGTCCCTCTACAGGAGGAAAATCCGAAAATAGTCAACGAATAGTCTGGGGACGATTTTCTGATTATTTTTGATTAAACTTGAGCATTTTTAAAGGAGGACATGCCCGACCTAGGCCTATTCAGAGTTGCTTCATAAGCGTGAGGGGGTACCCCCTCGACGGGGGTCCACCTCGCTTCGTTGTCGCGCCGCGACGGGGGTCGGAGCGCCTTCGGCGCACGGTGGCTGCCTGCGACGGGGGTCGATGTGGGGCTGTCGGCGGGGGTGACGCCCCCCCGACGCTTATTAAGAAACTCGGAGTACAGTCGGGGCGTTGACCTAAGGATCCCTGAACGAGGGACGAGGCCCCTTTTTTCCAGAAGCTTCGGTTTCCATCAGAAAACCCAAGGAAAACCCAAGGCAAGCTGCGACACAGTGAAGGAACACGGAGCCCCTCCCCAGCGAGAAGGGCTTCCTCTTCAGCGCCCCGCCTGTACAGTCGGGGCCCTGGAGCAGGAACCCTTTTCGTTGGGGAGGGGCTCCGCGTTCCTTAAGTGTTTCACAGCCTGCCTCAGGTTTTCCTTCTGTTTTCGACGGGAAATCGAAGTTTCGCTTATGGAGAAAAGGGGCCTCGTTCCTTATTTCGGGTTCCTGAGGGCAACGCTCCGACTGTAGGGCCACTCTCGCATGTAGCCGACCACCGACCTGGGAGGCCCACAGCCCGCAGGCGCGGACGTCGTGGGCCCGCGGCCTCGGGCTGCGCCTGCTGCCCCTGGCCGCGCCGCCGTGGCGGCGGCCGGCCCCGGCGGGGCCGCCGCCGGGGGCAACCACACGGTGCTGCTCCGCAGCGACGGCTCCGCGGCGGCCTGCGGCAGGGGCAGCTCCGGGCAGTGCGCCCTGCCGGGCCTGAGCCGCGGGGCCCCAAAGGCGTACACCACCGCCTGGGTGGTGTCTCCGAAGGGCTTAGGCGACCCCTCCTCCTCCCCCTCCTCCTCCTCCTCCTCCTCCTCCTCCTCCTCCTCCGCCTCGGGTCGCCTACGGCCCCGGGGGAAGCCGTGCACCACCAGATCATGGACGAGCGACTTTCGCAGCGCGACGCCAGCCAAGATCGCGTGCGCGCCGAGCAAGGCCTGGGCGTGGCACCGCTCGCCGAGATTGACGGCGCGTGTGTCGCCCAAAGTAGTCGCGATAGTTGTACGTCACGAACATTTTCGAGTGCTTCAGCAACTGCTTCCCTCACCCCCTTCCTCAGGGGAGCCAAACAATGACATTAGCACAAAAGCTCGGAGGTCCGCGCGGATTTCTGGGATCGGCGATGGATCCACCTCCCTGGCGCGCGGAGCGCGCCAGGGGTGGTGCCAGAGGCGCCGCCAGAGGGCTCCAGCGCCGATCCGAGAAATCCGCACGGATTCCGAGTTGTTCTGTTTATGCCATTGTTTGTTCCCTTCTCCCTCTCCCAGGGAGGGGGGTCCAGCGCAGATCCAAGAAGTGCGTGCGGAGCGCCAGAAGTTTATATGCTTATGCGTTTTTTTTTTTTTCTTTTTCTACTCACCCCCTCTCACTCCTAGGAGAGAGGCGAGGAAGACCAGGGTAGAGGAGGGAGGAGGAATCGACGTGGCGGTGGTGTATATTCTTGGGGCCCGCACGAGCCCGGGCCTCGGCTACGTGCAGGCCGCAGCTGGGGTGTCGCACACGGTGCTGCTGCGCAGCGACGGCTCCGCCGCGGCCTGCGGGGCGAACCGGGCGGGGCAGTGCGGCCTCCCTGCCGTGGGCGCGGGCGTGTCCTACGTGCAGGTGGCGGCTGGGGCCTGGCACACGGTGCTGCTCCGCAGCGACGGCTCCGCGGCGGCCTGCGGGGACAACCGGGACGGGCAGTGCGACGTTCCGGCTCCAGGCCCAGGCCTGGCCTACGTGCAGGCCTCCGCGGGAGCGAGGCACACGGTGCTGCTCCGCAGCGACGGCTCCGCCGTGGCGCTCGCGCGGCGGCTCGGCGATGGCCGCAGGTTCGGGCAGTGCGACCTCCCAGCCCTGGGCCCGGGCCTGTCCTACGTGCAAGCTGCAGCCGGAGACGCTCACACGGTGCTGCTCCGCAGCGACGGCTCCGCGGTGGCCTGCGGCAGCAACGGAGCCGCGCAGTGCGACATCCCAGCGCTGGGCCCAGCGCAGACCTACGTGCAGGTCGCCGCCGCAGAGAACCACACGGTGCTGCTCCGCAGCGACGGCTCCGCCGTGGCCTTTGGGAGCAACAGGTTCGGACAGTGCGACCTTCCAGTTTTGGGCCCGGGCCTGAAGTATGTGGAGGTTGCCGCCGGAGTGACGCACACAGTCCTGCTCCGCAGCGACGGCTCTGCGGTAGCCTGCGGGCGGAACCTAGCTGGACAGTGCGACCTCCCCATTCTGGCCCCAGGCCTGACTTATGGGACGCCAGTGCCACCAACG